GGGGGGCTTAAGAAGATTAACCCTTCAAGTGGCAATGTGCCCTGCCTAATTATTTTACTCTGTCTAACATGATACAATTTTACTTGTCAAGGGATCTACCCATGCATCTTGTTAACCCTTACTCTGTCCAACCCAGATGATTTTACTTGCCAAAGGGGAGTGCTGCCACTCAATGAATGGGTTAATAGTTGTACAACAAAAATAGAGATTGTAGCTAAAACATCCAATGCTAACATTAGACTTGTATATTTATCAATTTTTGACGAGTAACCATTACATGAAAATTACCTTCAGATATTCAGCCATGTTGCTCTCTAACGTGTTTATTTCCTTCTTTGACCAATTACCCAACTTCACTTTAACTCCTAGTTAGAGAAACATTTCTAAATGCACTTTACAATTTACACAACTTTTGCCTAAAACTGTCGCATGCAACCTGTGTAAATCAAGCACACAAGTTGCCTATGTTGTCATGAGTTTAAATCTACCTTTGCTTTTAAGTTCTTCCAGTTCTTTCCTCGTAAACCTCCATTGTGAATGCAATGGATGAAGACCTGGTTCAACATTATCTTGTTCAGAGCTCGCATCCACTCTCAGCATTTCCTTCCTTCTTTTAATTCTATTTTTAATATCTAATGATTTTCTTTTCTTCAACAGGTCATGAGTTTTGCTACTATTTAACAAGGTATTATCATCGTCACATCTGTCTTCCACCTCGGATCCCGTCTCAACGCTCGGTGAATCACCATGTTCACCTTTTTCGTTAACCTTTAGAGGAAGATTAAAACAGGTTTTTAGCTCTCTCAAGTAGATCAAAACAGGTTTTTAACTTTTTCTAGTAGTTAACTCTCAAAATCGAGCCTCGTTTTTGTGATTGAGATGTTAGGCTTTAAAGACCAAGAATTGTTTGGGCCATTCTAGAGTGGATCGATATCACAAATACTGAATACCGATATACCGCCATCAGAATACCAGTAAATACAGGTATACCGGTATTTTTAACGTGTTTTTCTTTTAAGCCAAACTGAACTGCTGACCGTCGAGAAAAATCAAGTTTTGACAAAATATTAATGTGGCACATATTGTTATTAGTGCAAATGTCACAAGATTCGCATTATCAAGCTATGTTAACGGCGCTAAGCGGCAATTATTAGTAGGCCGTTGATTGGGCGTCGAAGTGTTGAATCATTCAGTACTACAAGGTGATGTAAATCTAATTATCTTTGCTTTCTAAACGTGATTGTAAGCAAGATTGACTTGAAATAGCGTTTCAATTCGGTATTAGGCAGCAGCATTCGGTATTAGAGTGGATCGATATACCGGATATATTCGGTATACCGGTATTTGTTTAGATACTGGTATTGGCGATATTGACAATTTAAAAATTCCCGATATACCGACATTTCGGTATTTTTAAATTGTCAATATCGCCAATACCGGTATCTAAACAAATACTGGTATACCGAATATATCCGGTATATCGATCCACTCTAGGCCATTCAATCAGTCAGAGAATATCTGAGAGGGCCCCCTATACTTTTTGCGTGAAGCGTGATGGGCTTATTTTATTAAGCTGTGAAACGTGATCGATGATTATTTTAATTCGTGATGGTATGACTTCCAATCTTTTTACGTGCACGTGAAAGAAAGATTCAATTTAACCGTGACCCGTGAATGGCAGATAGAAATATGCGTGGTTTGTGAATCATCTCTTTTGCGACCTTTTGTGTGATCATCTTTCCAAGGAATAAATACGGTTTGTTGCTGTTTTTTGAAGTACTTGATGTACAGGAGCCTGTTTTCGACATAGTTGGAAGTTTGAAAGCATGTCGAGGTAAGTACAGACGAGTACAATGATTCTACAATTAAGGAAGACATCCTATAATAATTCGTGAATTGTGATCACTTCGATTTTTCCTTGAAAAGGAAGGAATTTTTTCAATTTTTCGTGACTCGTGAAAAGGCAAAATAGTTTTATGTGAAAGCATATTGTCAAGAGGTACAGGGGGCCCTCATCTGCCAGTTTGCAGAACGTGGCACATTTCGACGAGATCTCGGGTGCGATATACCAAGAATTTCAAGTGCAGGTGCGCTTCAAACTGTCAGGTGCGCACCTGAAAAATTGTAAAAAATGCTGTACGGGTGCAAATTTTTTGTGACAAGGTGTGTCACCGCCGGTCCGCCGGCTGGGAAATAGTAAATTACAATTTATCAGCGGCTTATCTCTTGTCTTTCCCCCCACGGTCCACTCTTTCGTATATCTTTTCTTGCGTGGCGAAATACGCGCTAGACAGTAACCCACTGAGCAGTAACCTGAGTTGAAGAATGCGTATTGCGTAAGCTGATTTGATATTTTCGCGCCAATTTTTTCCTGAAAGAAAATGGCGGAAGCTATAGAAGTAACATGTGCAGTTTGCGATAAAGAGGTAGGAACAGGACACAAATGTAAGTTATGCAGCGAAGGTTAGACACCCTACATCATTATACATGTCAAGTGCACCCTGGGAGCTAAGGCATGAGGAACATTTAGGCTAGGTGCGCTAAAATTGCAACCAGAGATTGCCCTCGGGTGCGCTAGTAACACATTCTGCAAAATGGCTCATCTGAGGGCCGGTTCAAAAAAGCCATTTCTGAGGGGTTATGGCCATCGGCATCCTTTGATCTTAGCGTTTTTTCTGAGGGGTAAGGCAAAAATTTACCAATCTCTGAGGGGGGGTGTGCATCGGCACTTTGATCTTTTTTTCTTGGGGTTCACATTTTACTGAGCTCGTCCATAGGGACATAGGGTGTGTGGATTTTTTTTGGAATGGCCATTTCTGACAAGGCATTCCTCTGTGGAGGAGATATGGATGTTTTCTGGAAAGACCCTTTCTAACCTTAACCATGCTACTAACATTCTTTCCACCCTCATCAGACTGTTCATCGTTTATTTCACCATCTTTCCGTCTCTTCCGACTCTTCGACTTTGACCAGCCAACATCGTATCTACAAGCTAATTCATAAACATCATCGCCATTTAAACTTCTTTTTGATTTCTTGTGTCTGTTCTCCATGCAATAAATAATGTGTCCAAATAAAAGATGGACTAAACAGCTGAAATATTAACAAAGAATTTCATTTCACTCAAACGCACTCCTCTGTTTTCGCCATTTTGAACTTTTGTTCGATGGTGTATAGGATAGCTAAGGAGATCTAAGGATGGCTAAGGAAGTCTAGGGATATAAGGTGATACAGTGGGTGATACACTATAATGGGGTCACATAAAGTAACTCCTTTTTCATGGGCATTTCAGATGACCGATGTTTTGTGGCTCAAAAACAGCGGGCATGTTCGGGCAGTCCCGTTTATGCAGGCTAGTTGAAATTGCGTAAAAAAGTTGGCACACCTTGCGTACATGTCAGTGATGGAGTGAATTTTTTTTATGAAAAAGTCGAAATCTGTTACCATTCTGTGGTCGTGCAAATATTAGTACGGTCTCAAATTTGTCCGGTCCCTTGTGAACATAATTATTTTTAAAAAACTTTCTAGAAGAAGCTCAACCAAATGCCAACATCTTTGCGCTTGCTCGGTCCAGTTATGTTTTGTCACCTTCAGATCAGTGTCAAAAGCAATATGGCGGGTATAATTCGAAATATTTTGCAGTGCAGACTGTGCAGTCGCTTTTCAAACGTTAGTTGTAGACAATTCTTAACTAGGACAACGTTTACGTTGGTAAGAAAATACGCTTGTTATTATAAACCGTAATTTTGTAATGTTGTAGGCACTATACAAATAATATCAGGGATTGGCTGAGGGATTGCCTTTCCATGGGCTATATTAATTAAGGAGATGGCCTGGCCACTGGCCTAATTTTGTCAGAATATTAAGGCACAGAATGTAACGTACTCAGTACACTAATTGTACAACTGTACAGTCTGACATAGTCAAACTTGTATTGACGTAAATGCCACTCTTGTGAATTTCAAAAGGAACAAGGTTGGGTCGACAGCCTAATGTAGTAGGGGCGTGGTCAAACGGCAATATTAGAGAGAAATGTACATTACTTGGTTACTGCCATAATTCTCCACATTTTGAGTCCCATTTCATGCCTCAGAAC